GAGCGAAAAATAAAATAAAAGAACTGACAATTTAGTTAATATTTTTTATGAAAAAATGTAATTTTAATTAAAAAAACCAAATTTCGTGTGTTTAATACGACTTGAGTATAGTACGACCCCCTTTTTCTGAAGCTAGAAACAGGGAATAAATGACATACTTGGGTATAATACGAACCCTACTGCGAGAAAATCTCCTGCCTAGTCAGTTATGAATCGAAAGGGACATGATCATCCAAGCATGTATAGCGTATGGCACTTAACTGACTGATTAGCAACCATCCTATGTAATTTTGTCTTTTGAAAAGTTGTGCCAAATTATCCATTAAATATATATATGTCACTAAAATATTTAATTTCTCACGATATTAAAGAATAGAAATAAACCTGATGTTTAGCCATTGCGTCTTACTTCTAAATTCTGTTTCAATTCGATTTTTCGGGAAAAGGTGCTAACTAGACATATCCGATAATACATTTTAAGGTGTTAATTAATCTATCCTACTTTTGTATAGGGTGACCAAAAAAAACGGGAATTTTTTAAGTGCTTGTTGGCAGACATGAGCAAGTGGCAACACTGCGAGCAAGTAAACATCTGGCCATTTAGAATTCAAGATGAAATTCACAGTATCCCAGCTGAGATGTTGCAGCAGTCAATGAGGAATCTCAACAGCAGATTTCAAGAATGCATTCGTACAGGAGGACGCCATCTACAGGACTTAATTTTTAAGAAATGAAAATTCCATCATTGTTTCTTAAATGGCATGTTTCAAGGTTTCAATTACTATGAATAAAATATTTTCCTTCCATCACTCTTGGTTTTATTGGATTGTTAAAAAGATTCCGTTTTTTGGGGGTCACCCTGTATTTGATAGGACTTTATTATATATAAAAGACAATATATTTATTTTGTGAAAAAAACTGAGACAAAAAATGTTTAATTACGCTGATTCCCCAAAAACAAATATGGCCGACATATCAAATACTTTTTATCAACACCTGCCTACTTTGTGTTTTATTATCTTCTAGTGTATCCGTGTTATCAAAAATGACGGCAGTTGTTAGATATTTTAATGCTAGGATGCAATGAAGCAAAAGTCAAAGCGGAGATAACGCATTCAGGATATTATTAATTAAATGGTTCATTTTACTCGGGAACTAATTTTGTCTAAATGCAGATAAATATTTTAGTTGTACAGATTATAAAACGATTAATAGAAATAATAGCTCATAAATTTACTAAATTACGTTGATTTATCTCCCTTCCCACGACAGACGGGATGGGAAATATATAAATAAATACACGTTAATAATTATTATATTATTTGGTTGAGTGTACTTGGTCTTGCTGTTTCAAATAAGAGGCTTCTTAAGCTGAGTAAGAATTTCAGAAAATTGGTATAAGACCGCCTTTTGCTTTTAGTTTTCGTTTAAGATTTTGCGTATTATACACAAGAAAATATGTTAATTTTAATGACTATTTTCAATTTTAATAATCAGTAGTCTTCTTCAATATCTGTCTATATTTCTGTGATGAGGCATTGTAGTTTTTTACATTATTTACATTGTTCGGACTGTTATCCTCATCTTTATTGCCAGAGTTCAGTTCAAAATTCCAATCACCTGAAGTAGGCCGGAGAGTACAACGGCCGAAATGTCGTGAATATGACAATAAAGATGAGGACAACAGTAATCTTCTTATTGGAACAATGTAAAAAAAAATATTCGTCTCCCATTGGCAAATCTCTCCTTTCTGCAATTACTCTAGTTCAGTGGTTTCCGAACTTTTTTCTAGCTACTGCCCCCCTCCCAGCGTCCCCCCCTTCCGCACTATATGAAGACGCTTCTTTGTTTATAGACACTACAAATTCAACAAATAATCTAGTACTGTAAACACAAATATCCATTTCACCTTTTGTTAGATGACATTAGATGCCTCCAGACAAACATCCGTAGCTATATCACTACACCTATAAACTTATATCACTGGCCCTCTGCGGCCGTCAGCTGTCTGATTTCCTTGGTATGGGGTGCATCCTGCCCAGATAACGTTAGTATGATGCAAATAAATGTTAAAGTTTCAAAAATTTAGAAAACAAAATGAAATAAAGCTTTGAGTTCGTGTTCAACTCTTAGATTTATTCTTTGTAAAACATAATGGAGTAATGGATAGTAGCTCGAGCTGAGGAATCGGAGAGGTGAGTTCGAATTTCAGTCGAGTTCATTTCATTCACTTACGTGCCTTTTGGGAAAGGTATGAAGTCATCTCTTCTCCTTAGCTATGGGTAAAACAGTAGGACAGACAGAGGTACATAGCCTTGGTTGGCTAGGGAAAGGAAAACTCTGAATTCAAACCACCTGCTACCTTGTAGGTCTGCCTCTTTAACTTCTGAGAGGATGGACCGGGTAACCTCAAAATCCCTCAGTGCAAAAGGAACCGGCAAGCAATTGCACTATTCTGCCTACGTGACATTTGTCCTTGTTTACAGCAGCGAATGCTGGACAATTGCCTCAAGGATGAAGAAGAGACTCGAGGCGACGGAGATGTGGTTCTACAGGAGGATGCTGAGGATTTCGTGGACCGATCATGTGAGCAAAGATGAGATCTTGGAGAGGAAGCAGACAAGGAGGAGGCTCATGATTAACAATCAGAAAGAGGCAGCTGGAGCTTCTGGGACACATAATGAGGAAGGAGGGTCTGGAAAATCTGATACTCACGGGTCGAATAGACGGAGAGAGAGATAAGGGAAAGCAGCGCGTGACATTTCTGGCGGGCTTGAGCAGGTGGATGACAGAACGTGGTCTGGAGGAGATAGCAGAGAGAAGGAACTTGTTGAGAGCTGCAAGAGATAGAAAGAGGTGGAGAGCCATGATCGCCTACGTCCTGAAAGGACATGGCCCATAAAAAAATCATTTTGTAATGTTGGATTGCTTGTTTACAAAAGAAATATACATCTGTAAAAAGTTAACTTCTTACATATTTATTGTATTTTTCCGATAAAGATTAACATTATTACAAATGTTTAATTAATATCTTACTGATCATGTACAAATTAGAATTAGTTCTAGATGTTCTACCGAACCCAGGCATATTGGAATGAAAATGGCGACGTGCAATATCTGATATTTAGAATTGCGCTGTCTTAGAATCAGCTAAATTTAGTAAATATCTAGTTTGGTTTATTCGAGTTGACACAGCGTTTAGAATCGGAAGGAAAGAAGAATTGGTAAGAAACCAAATCCCGTTCAAATTCCAACCTAGTGAACGCACATAGGCAAGTCTTCCTTTGGGAAAAGCCCAGAGGTTTTTCTCGTTAATTTTTCACTAAGACCATTGACAGAAACAATCTTTCTTTGACTTCAATCAACCATTCTTCTCAGCACCTACCCACATCGCATGCGCAGATATACACTCTCCCAACGACATTCTGTCCCCACCACTGTTAAACCCAGCTGGTAACTGCTTAAGAATTCATGTGTACACATATGTAAGTGCTCACCCCACGTCAACATGAGAACACTATTTTCTCACGGTCAGTACATCCATTTTCTTTTTATTCGTATGAAGTGAGCTTTTGTCTATTCGCATCGTTTGCCTTTTTCTATACCCAGATGCTTTCACATCTTTGGGCTTTCAATTATATTTATTTTCGAATTACACACTTGACTTGTTCATGACATTTTTTTTTTTCATTTAGTCGACCGAATTTCTTAGATGAGGTTTTATTTTTTTTAATTTTTTTTTACTTGTTTGTTTTCATTTTTGACTTTTTATCGCAAGATGATTTGAACCAGCGTCACATATTTTGAGAAGGCCACCGGACAAAGACAACGCATTACCGATTAGACTACGGAAACTTACAAAGTGGTAAGATTCAGTTTTAGTCATATAGTATCATCCTATTTTCTCCATCTTTATTGTTTGTTTACGCCAAGTAAAAATAACAGTAAAGATGAAATTTGTCTTTTCCACACATGAAAACATTAGGCGTCTATTGGCCGAATAGTTAGTGTTATTGTCAGTTGAAATTTATAAAATCTTTTTATTAAATGTTTTTCAGGAAAATAGACTTCTCAAGTTCACTAACTGTTATCGATCTTTCTAATACTGACGAGAGTTTCCTTTAAAACATTTCGGCTTTTTGTTAATGCGAAAAATTAACTCTCTGGTTATATCATAATTTTCTCTTCTAATTAAACGTGCTACCAATATTTTTGTTGCTGTTAGAATTGTTCAAATGATGTGTTTATTTGTTATTTGATAAAGCTGTTCGTTTGTGATTCTGTAGCACTAGTTTATAGTATTTGATGAAGGACCATCTTTAAGATTTAGAGGATTTATTCGTTTGAAACCATTTTTAATCATTGATCTGAGAAGACAGTTGTATACAGATGATAGTTTAGACATTTCTGAACGGGTTGGATGTCATGCATGACATCCACATGAGTGTCTACATCTGAGGAGGCTATTTAAGAACATGACCCTCGGCTTCGGGTCAATATTTCGGTGTTGGACAAAAATATCTCTTGCACAACATATCATGTGGTCGGTTTCTTTATCGCATATACTAAATTTGTTATAATTGAATAATACACCGAGGTATTTGTATTTTGCATTTTATGGGGGATAAGATTAGGTGCCATCATTACTTTTATTCTAATTCCAGATATTTTTCTGTTTTGGAACGGATTATCTAAGCCCTATTTCTTGGTTTGATTTGAGTGATTCGTTTTTTACGGCTTATCAACCCTTTTGCAGGTTATTTCAAATCAGAAAATATTTTTAGATTGTAAGAACGTTTTTGAATGGAAGAGGATAATAATGATTTAAAGAGACAAGTCATATTAATTAACCCATAGCTGGGGAGAGAAGAGGTGGATTCATACCTTTTTCAAGGGTATTTGAGCGTAAGTGAATATAAAGAACCCAACTGAAATTGGAACTCGGCTCTCCGATTAACAATTCCAAGTCATTATCCATTACACCATCTGCATTTCGAAGCTCACAGCACCCGGTATTCTCAAGTGGTCACCCACCTAGGTACTAACCAGACTCAACGTTGCTTAACTTTGGTGATCGTATGGGAACCGACCTTTCAGTGAGATTTGGCCGTAAACCTTTACTTCTTTTGCTATTGCATTTGTTATCTATTGGACACCAACTTTTTGCTCCATCTGTTATCCTTTCTTCTTGCTGCGTAACTTACTCGACCCTCTTTTGGCGCCTGGTATTCCCAAGAGGTTACCCACCTAGGTACTGACCAGACTCGATGTTGCTTAACGTTGGTGATCGTACGGGAATCAATGTTTCAACGTGATATAGCCGTAAACCCCTATGTAGTAAAGAGTGTTGTCTTTTTGCCTTGTTCAGAATCATTCTTATAACAAAGTTAATCCTTTATCCAATTTCTTTATATCCTATACTGAATTCTATATAACTGATTCCAAGTTATTTGAAGAATTTAGAACTTATTAATTCCGTATTCTGAATTTTTATGATGAATTTAGTATAGGTGACGTCAAATATTCTCATTCCATTTCCGGATCATAGTTACTGTTTGGGAAAGGCTTACATCATGGAAAACTTTGTACAGAATGTTGACTTTTTGCTCAAGATCATTTTTCTACCAACTATAAAAGCCCATCAACATATGCCACAATCGTTAGCGAATCTTTCTATTTGTAGATTCGTTTGGGACAAGTAATCCAAAATGTAGAAGACGTAATATTCTTAAATTTACCCAGTTTCTTAGAGGGACATTACGTCTTCGGATCCCAGTGTCGCACTTTCCGTCCTCTGTTAAAACACTTCCCAGATATTGAAATACCTGTACCTGCTTGATTTTAGTTTCCCCGGCCTGTAATTTGCATTTTGGGTGCATCTTTTTGCTAATAACCACGCATTATGTCTTCTTGTAGTTTATATTTATTCCTTTCTTCTCGCTTTCCTTCACTACTTTTTGTAGGATCCTTTCTAGTTTTCTTTCCTTGACTGCTATCAAAACTGTGTCATCTTATATTGTTAAGATTGTTGTCGCCAATAATGAATCCTTCTAATTCTCTCAGAATTGCCTCGCCGTATAAGTTGAATAAATCTGGTGAGAAGACATCTTTCTCTTACACCCCTTTCTATTTTTGTATATCTAATGAACTCATTTTCTGCCTGTATGCAGACGGCTTGCTGCCCGTATAGATTCTTTAGACATTTACTAATCTTAAATTAGTCTATCACAAGAGCACAAGTGTTAAGGAAGGACCAAAACCATTACTGTACTAACCGTTATTATTTGGTGGATGCTTATGAGGATGTGTAGATGTACATGTGGTTTTTGTTTTGCATTGAGTATATTATATTCACGAAGAAAGTAAACAGGTGAATTTTTAACTTTATTTTTGACTTATCAGCAGTAATTGGTGGCAAATGAAGTAAAAGTTATTTTTTATTTGGTAAAAAATTTATGAAAAAATATAGTTCAAACAAATGTTTGACGTGTCGGAGTTAACTCCTCCTTCAGTCCGCTAACCCTTTCACCAGGGGTCTCTCTTCCCTAGCTATAAATAGCCGATGACCTTTGGCCTCTATCTCTTTTTTCCTTCAGGCCTGTGCACTGACAACTTGAGGTAAACTCTTTCCCCTTCAGGATTTCAGCTATCAACCTCGAAATGTAGTCGCTAACAAGGGATAGCGTGGAAACACGCTAAGCACAATATATACACACACGCACCCACATACAGAATATTCACACACGCACGCACATACAGAATATTCACACACACTTCGACCTTTGTACTGTTTCCATGTATTGTAACTTGTTATTAATATATATTTGTATATACATATATTATCGGTCTTGTTTTGTTTGCTTTCTTTACCTTCTACTTGATTATTTCTCTTGTTGTTGTCTTTGTTACATTTGATATTGTAAAAATTGTAGAGGGTCAGTTTTTATTTCTATTTATAACCAATACAAATAAGGCCCTCAGAAAAGGTAAACAACATAAAAATAAAAGGAAAAAAGTACATTACAAGGTATAGGTACAATGTTCGAAACAAAGGTCATGGTAACAGCGAAGAACAGAACAATCACATCAGCCGGAGAATTTTCCTTGATGTGGGAGCGACTTTGATGTTCTTTACAAATTCTGGTCTAATGGTCACCAAATTTCTTTTGTGTTGTTTTTTTTTCTTGACCGGTCCGACTTTTGTTCCTGCAGCAATTGCTTGTCGATTCCGCGAATTCATTTCTCTTTTTTGCTTTTATTCACCAAGGTAGGCTCCAAATTTGCTTTTCGGAATTTGGAGGGAAACCTTTTAATTAGTTCCAATCTCAGTTATTTTCCCACAAATCGGAATGGTCCAAAAATATTTTTGAAATTCATACGTTTAAGCAAGAGCCTGACACAGCGTTCGTTTTCTCTCAGAAAAGCAGATGATACACACTCAAGAAGCTTAAATTTCTTATAAAAAAAGCAAGAAGGAAACTGCTGACAATAAAAAATATATATGATTTTGTATTTAAATTATAATTAAAAGAAATGTGTTACACTCTTTTATTGAACAAAAATATGAAAAGGGAATACTAGAGTACATGGAAGGAAGAATATTTGCGTGTGAGAACTTGTGACAGCATTTTATGAGGTTTTATTCTTGTTATATTATTTTTTATTTGGTAAAAAAAAAACGAAAAATAATTCAAACAAATGTTTGAGGTAATATCTAATTTATATGTTTGGAATTCAAAGAGAGAAGACGTGTTTTTCAAAGCTCTGCTGATTTCAACGGATTTTTAAGAATATAAAATCTCGGATTAAATATTATTATATCAAAAGGATAGAGGAACAATAGTTTACTTGTTTTTGGACCAGCTTGATTGTTGAACTGCGAGTTACGTCAACTGTTTAGTTTTTGTCTTCATTTTCTGAAATTTTTTTTGAATTTCTCAGTTTCTTCCTTTTCTTTTATTTATTTGTGCATTTTTCTCTTTCTTTTCTTTTTGTTACTTTCATTTTTTGTATTTTTACCCTCGTATTTATTTTCGTGTTTATTTATTGTTTTTTTTTTTTTTCATATTTGTCTTTGGTTTTCCACTTTCTTGTTTTGTTTTGGTTCGTTTCGTCTTTGTTTTTCATTATATTGTGACATAATTTTAAAAAAAAGAAAAAATTAGGCAAGACTTTATTCAGTTGGCCTTGGTGGTTTCAGACCGCTATGGCTGAAGAGACTTTAAATACACCGCCGCCAGTCTCAGCCGGTAAAACGGCCTGGTGTGAAAATATGCCGAAAATAAAAGACGCGGCTTACTATGTTGCACCAAAAAGAAAAAAAAATGAGGATTCCTTTAAGGGCAATGAGTTCCTCACCATACCGGAAGCCCTCGAAGCAGTAAATATCCGCATTATATCCTTGTTGACCTCCGACGTTAAAACACGGAAATTAATTAGGGTCAGCAGGGAAATCTTGGAAGAAGTCTTGAAAACCTTGAACATCAGCCCCAAAGTATTAACCAGGAGATATATGGGATATTCTCCTACCTATGGAGCAGCAAGCGAAAGACTTGGCAGGAAATGTGTTGAGCACTAAAACGTTAAGACTACAGACGGAGTACATGGGCACCCGGAGAACAAAAGTGACAATACATGGGGTGTCCATGGACATCTGCGAGGATAGGATAGGGGGCATTTTCTCAAAATACGGCCAAGTAAATAAAGTGAAGGACCTTATCAGCGAAGCCAGGATAGCTACCGGTGACATGGAGTTACAAGTCACGGTAAATCGATAAAGCTTCGGAGAAATTCCAAATATATTGGTTTGCCGTGACAAAAAGATGGTGGTGGTGGTGTAAGTCAGAAGACCGTACTGTTGGTTGTGTGGAGCTTCGGAGCACATGGCGAAGGAGTGCCGCGGTAAACGTACACCACGGCCAGCAACGACAAGAGAAGCAACAGCAGCAGCAATAGGCGCACCGCCAGCGTAGGAAGTAACATCTACAATGAACATTGATAGGGCCTGGAAGGAGGTCAAAAGGAGTCGGAAATCGTCACACGTTCCGTCTCCTTCAAAACAGGACATACCTCAACCAAAGAGACAACCACCACCACAGCAGTGGTCAGGGAAGCAGCCACAAAAGGAGGTACAGCCACAAAAGGAGGTGCAGCAAAAAGAATCGCCACAACAAAAACAGCCACACCAAAAACAACAGCAGCATTCCTCGGTCCAGTGACCTTTCTCAGCCTAGGATGGTCTTCTATCATTATCTAGTGGAGGCGGGCGCGAATGATCCTCTACGTGAGCGGCTCGACTTGTCAGAGAAGGAGTTTCACTCCTTCTGGTCTTGGGCGCCAGCGGCGGATTATCTCAGTAACTCGCGACTGGCTCGGAATAGGCTGCCTCTCAATGACATGGCCTTCATATGGGGCTTGACGGATTTGCCAGACTGTGAACGATGTGAACTTGGCCTGGATGAAACTGTTTCGCACGCCTTCTACGATTGTCCTCGTCTGCATCTTATGGGACCATGTCGGCGAGCTGACGTCTCGTATCGCTCCCGAAAGGCTCGTGCTCATTGATCATGCATACGCGTGTGACAATGTGTCGCCCTCGTATTCCGGGGTAAACGAATGGCGTTTCTAACGCTGCTGACCCCGGCCCGAATGGTGATTTGGACGACGCGACTGAAGGAAGTCTTGCGAGGCGACTGTCTTTCTCATCAGGATCTGATCTGATTCTTTGAGCATCAGCTCAAGATGAAGATTAGAACTGATAGAAAACTTGATTTCGACAGCCTTTAGCGAAAAGTAGGTGACTGAGGCGAGCTTGGTTCACTTTAACGGGGCTAGCCTTGATTTTCTCTTTTAGATCAACCTATTTCACATCGCGGCGGTTTCCTGGTTATGGTAGACAAACTTTTGTGTACCGAGTTAATGTTAGTGTTGTTCCTGGCCTGCTCCCGGCTATATATTTGGTTATGATCCAAGTTGAGATTCCCAACCTCCCCAGTTTGTTTTGGCCTTCTTTTATCTCGACTGGCTCAGCTTTATTGATTCCCTATGCCCGTCTATATTTCCTTTTTTCCCTCTCCCTTAGGGAGAGAGCCTCTTGATTTTGTCCAAGGGCAGAATATAGCGGATTCTCTTTTTCGAAGCGTTGGACAGGTCCTAACATCAGTTATGTTTATTTTTCCTTTGTTTTGATATTTAGTTTGTTTTGGGGTTCACCCCTCCCCTTTCATGATCATTCATCCGATTTATATATATATATATATATATATATATATATATATATATATATATATTTTATTCATCTCATTGGGATGTTTTTTTTAGTTCCCG